AAAGTCGAGTTCGCAAAGTTCAGAAGTAGGTTTGGTGACTATATAAGAGGGTCCGACATCACGAAAGTACTACAGTAATACCGAATAAAACGGCTCTTGTGGAGATGTTGTTCGGGGTGTCTGTGTAACAATGTCGTCATCATCCCCCCCACCCTCCCCATTCCAACCCCAATCCGACGCCCAATGTTTCCAAAATCCAGGAGTGGATTGTGAGTCAAGAAGACGTGGTATGACACGGCGAACCTACCGTACATGCCGAGTAAAACGGATGTGCTTTTAAGAGGGTTTGTAGCAGAGGTGGTTGGCAGGGGGGGGGCTACTACTGCTGCCGCTGCTGCTGCTACCATTACTACTACTACTACTACTACTACTGCTACTACTACTGCTACTACTAGTACTAGTACTGTACTGGTACTAGTACCAGTACTGTACTAGTAGTATTATTATTGTTACTATTATTACTATGACGACGACGGCGGCGACTAGTACTACTATTGTGACAAAGACCGAGCACTGGGGCGCTGACACTACGACTCGGAGGGTCCGGACTCTAGGAGGCGCAGAAGCTAGGGAGCCAGGACAGAGGCCTAGGACGACCCGGATTCGGAGTAGGAGCAGACTGGGACCAGGGCAAGGATTAGGACTACAGGAATATTTAGTTCGTTGTGTGCTAGTATTTTGATCAGCAGTGTTTTCTGGGGGTCCGTAACAGTATGTTCGAACAATGCCTCGGTATGCACTGCATCCGAACAACATCGACGAGTAAAGAGAGTGATTGCATCTGTTTGTTCTATGCTTGCGCTTACCAGTCTCCTAAAGAACAAGCTTGGACCAGGGCTACTGTCCGCCACACCAGTGGCAGCAAGGCTGTGGCAGCAGGGCTGCAGGGCTGCGGCAGCAGCAGCAGCGGCAGCCGTCGCGGTGGCAGCAACGGCACCAGCAGCGGCCGCAGCAAAAACGCAACAGCAAAGAAACTATCACTTTGGCAGTGAGAGAGGATTGGCAACAATGCAAATGGCGAATGGAGGACATTATAGAACTCGCGTTGTGCTAGCACTGCTAATCAGCAAAAGGAACACATGGTGCGACTCAGTCAGAACTCGAACAGTACCAGAAGGCCGTCAGATTTCAGCTTCGAGCCCATGTGGTGCGCCCCCGCTCCGCCTGCAGATTGTCGGTGCTTTGGGATTCATTAAAATATGTTTTGTGCTGCTGCCAGGGAGTTTCATGACGTGACTGTGTGTTGTGATGAGAATAAATGAAGAGACCAACACACAAAAAAGAGGTACGGTATGATATCTCATGGTATGGCATGGTACGGCATGGTGTGTCGCGGTGTGGCGTGGCATGGTACAGAATGGTGTAGTACGGTACGTTGCGTGATGGTAGGTTATTGTGTGCAGGTCTATAGTTTTTGGCTGCAGAAGGTACTGGGCAGCGATGTGCTCGCTCACGCCGAAAGATTTGCCGCCAACATCGAAGCTCAAACCTGTGACGGAGGCCCAGAGCACAGCAGTTTTGTGTTTGGGTTTCGGGGCTTACTGTAGGGTTTCTTGTTCAGCTGAACTAGGATTAAAAGGGCTCAGGGTGTCGAATGCAGGAAGCCGAATGTAAGTCATCCATTGGCCATCCCTCCTTCCTGAAAATGTTTCCAACCCCTAAACCCTACACAAAAAGCTTGAAACCTAAGCCCTAAACCTTATGAGCGGTAGCGAGTCTATGCCGGAAATCCGCGTCCGTACCAAAGCCCACAGCTGATGGCTGAAGCTCAAGGCTGATGTCGAATCCATAGGGCTAGGATGCTAGGGTTCAGATTGAAAGTTGCGTCACCTTTTCAGGCCCAACAGCAGAATCTTTAAAGCGCCCAGCCCGAAACCCGAAAGCTAATCCGAAATCTGAGCCATACGGCCCCCTAAACCCTGAACTCTGAACCCGAAACCTTAATTCCTGAATCATAAAACCCCAGAGCGCCTTCATTGGTGCCTGAAGAACAGAATGTTTTCCTGAGGTTCTGCCGAATGGGTAGACCTAGTGTATGCCTGCTGCAGGTGGGCTTCTGCGGAGAAAAGGAGCCACTACACTTTAAAAAAAAAAAAAACCCCAGAGCCCGAGGACGCTGAAGCACACGCCAAGTTCTTGAAACAGAGACTTCAACCGCTCGCTAACAGCCCCAGCAAGACTAGACAAGGGCTTAGGGTTTAGGAGTTTATAGGGTTTTTTGCTGCGGTTCCGTCCGTATCATCCACCTCACTACTACTGGTCAGCAGGAATGATTGGAGCAACTGTGGTAATATCAAACAGTCAGTATTCCTAGCAAGGCGATATCAGGGCACTCGGCATCTGGCAGGAGGAGAAATCCTTTGGAACGTGACTGTAAGTGAAGTGTTCCCTAAACCCGCAACCGAAAGACCTAAACCCTCGTAAGCCCTAAAACGCAAAGTCTTCTTGCCTGGACTCCGCGAAGCCTGTGGGATCGTTTGCAGGCCCCATAAACCCCCCAAACCCCAAACCCTAAACGGGCTGCAAGGACACTCACAAGAAGCTGCTCCTCCTGTGCCTTGGTGCGATATCGGAGGATCCAAATCCTAGACCCTACACCCTAAACCCTAAACCCTAAACCCTAAACCCACAACCAGAAGACTCCAAGATGCGCGAGGTACAGCCAGGAGACCTCGGAAGCCAGCGAGGCTATGGCAATGGGATGCCCACATCATCCTCGTCGGTTTAAGGTTTAGGGTTTGGGCTTAGGGTTTAGGCATTCGGGTTTGGGGCTTAGGGTTTAGGGTTTGGGGTTTGGGGTATATGGTTTAGGGTTTGGGGTTTAGGGTCTAGGGGTGGCATCATCCTCTCCCAACCAATGAGCTTCCGGAGACCGCAGAGTCCTTTGCCTATGAGCCCCCTTTTGTCAAGGCCACCCTTTTGAATTTAGGGCTTGTTCTGTTCCTTCATTCAGGGTTTGGGGTACGAAGCCCTTTGGCCTTGAACTTTGAGCCACTTCTGAAAGTATGGGGTGTCCGCTTCTGTCTCCGCTTGGAGGTCTCACAGGATGGGGAGCCACCGATTGCAGTAGGGTTAAGTGTTGAATGACTCAGCATTCTGGCAGCAAACATCTTGATAGCTGCAAGAGTCGCTGTAGTGAGGCCAGCTCGCAGTACAGTTAGTAGTTTTTAGAACTAGCCATACTGTAGCATACAAGAAGCCGCCGTCAATCTGGATATTGTGAAAGAAAGACCAGTCACAGTGGTATTCGTACTAGCTGGGAAGTTTGCTAGTTGATGTACGATGCGCAGTCTGACGATTCCGAAATCCGTTCAGGCCTTGGGGTGTCGAATTTGGGGTCTTATGGTTCAGGATGCAGGGTTGAGGCTGAAGGTTTTTGGGGCTGCGAGGTTAACATCTGGGATTTGTTGCTTCCGGCCGGTTTTGCTATAGTTTTTTGAGCGACGGTACAGGGGTAGTTTCCGTTTCGCAGGTGCTCGCTTCCACGTGGATGTTCTCTGCCCGCACCCGCAAGAATCCCGAGCTCTACTCCCAACCTTCGGCTGCAGCCGAAATCCCGAAACCTAAACCCTAAACCCTAAACCCTAAACCCTAAACCCTAAACCCCTAAACCCTAAACCCTAAACCCTAAACCCTAAACCCTAAACCCTAAACCCCGAAATCGAAGGAGGGGTGTTCATCTTGTGATTCAAGCTCGAAGAGTTTGAGCATGTCAGGCGATGAGGCTCCTGGTGCAAGAGTTCCCCTCAGAGCTAAGGCAGCGGGAGTCGGTTCCCAGAGGTTGGGGCTCGGGTAGTGCTTGAGCTTGCAAGCAAGATGTAGAGTGGTCGGAACGACTCGAAAGGCTGTTGCTTGAGAGCTCCTATCTACTCGAGCAGGGCAGTAGCCTCTAGCACCGCACAGCTTCAATGGATATAGCAAGGCGAACGCAAATTATCTCGCTCTAGTGGCTTGGATGCTTTAATTCTTCGACGCCGAACTCTTCTGTCTTGTGCCGCTAATCTAGAGGTGCTTTCAAGAGGGAGCTTGCATTTCAGGTCGTACAGCGGTTCCAGCCCAAAGTCGCGCTCTCCCAGTACATCCCAGCTCCTGATCCTCATGGCACCTCCTACCAACAACTAACTACTGGGCCGCCTGGGCCCTGCTTTGGCGACCACGGGACAAGGTGTCGGCCCCTGGACCTAGAGCGGCTTATGCAGGCCGACGCCCCAGGGTTTTGTGGGGTTTGAGGGTTGTGCCTCTTTGAGGGCTTCCGGTTTGAAGATTTCCGGGGTGGCCCTGAACCCTAAACCCGAACATCCCAAATCTTAGCCTACCAACGTGAGAGCTTTCCCATCGCCGGCATGAGCTGCAAGGAGAAGGCGTTGGAACACGCCAGGTTTCAGTGAACCCTTAAAGTAAAGGAGCCCTCAGCGGGACCCTTCCATACAGGAATCTGAAGCAGCACATCTACTGACAACAGAAAGGATAAACCCAAAAACAGTAGCAAAAGCCCTCAACAGTAGTCCTGTAGCCTTGCTACTAGCAGCCCTTAGAGGCACTTTCATGCTTCTATAGTAGCTTAGAGCAGAACCCCGTTTCGATGTGGTGTTTCGATGTAGTGGCGGCCTAACCCTAACCCTAAACCGTAAACCCTAAACCCTAAACCCTGAAACCCTAAATCCTCTGCAAGCAGGTCTGGATCCTGAACTGCTTCGAGCATACGGACGAGCCGTCGCAGCCTCGGTGCGAAAGTCTTTCGAAGACCCGTGAGTTTCCGAAAATCAGGGTGCCTCTTTTTGGGGTCCTTAAAATAAGCATCCTATTAATTAGGGTACTCTATTACGTAGGGTCCCCCCATTTTCGGAACCCCCCACCCCATCCGGGCCGAAAGAGTGGAGCTCGGGGGGTTGTTTGGGCCCAACATCGTTAAACAGTACCCTAAACCCTAAACCCTAAACCCAACATCGTTTAGGGTTCAGGCTTATGTTTTAGGGTTTTCGGGGTTTAGGTTCAGGGTTGAGGCCAGTGCCTCATACCCAGGAGCCTCAACAGTCAGCAGTATCCTCCCCCACCGGAGGTAGGCTTTTGCGCTTGGGGTTTAGGGTTTAGGGTTTAGTGCGACCTATCCAAGCTTTAGCCGTTCAGTGAGGCCCCTTTTTTGCAGTGTTTGGTCGAGTTTCGGAAGTACTCTGGGTCTTTTGATCAGGGTATTTAGCAGTGTAGGGTCACACAGGATTCTAGCACCGGAGGGTATGGTGCGGCTACGTGTGGCACTGTATACAATGTAGACCCGAAACCTTAAAACCCGAAAGTAGCACAACTACAGATCCAATTCCATACCTTCTGCTGCCACGCGAGGTTGCGCGAGTGCTTGTTTTCGACAGTCCGTCAAGGTCCGTAGTGTAGTGTAGTCCTGTGGGAGCATGCCCACATCCTTGGACAAGTTTTTTCAAGACCCTAAGCCTAAAAGTCCAAACCGTACTTCCACCCTAACCCTAAACCCTAAACCCTAAACCTTCCAGAAACACAGAACCGTATACTGATCGACTGCAAGTCCAAGAAGTCCCCAGCTTGCGGGCTCGGGTTCTAGGGTGGGGTTTGGAGTTTAGGGTTTAGGGTTTAGGGTTTAGGGTTTAGGGGGTTGGGTGTGGAGCTTTGGGGTGGAGCTTCGGGCTTGTTTTTTTTTGGGTTTCTGGGTTCTTGTTCAGGGATTTCGCTTGAGTTGCCGTAACAAAGAAACCATATTATTTACCATAGATCCCTATTATGGTAACTTAAACTAAATCCCTTAACCCTAAACCCTAAACCCTAGATTGAATCCCTTAACAAGAATCCAGGTTTAGGCGATGACGGGTTTAGGGCCCCTTTGGGGTCTCAGTTGGGCGACTCCATGAGGCTAGGCTACGCCACCTACTTCATGTCTTCCTTCATGCCGCGCACCGAGATCGAGGGTTTAGGGTTTAGGGTTGAGGGTTTAGGGTTTAGGGTTTAGGGGGCCTGAAAATCGCAGCCCTAAGCGCAAACCCCACACCCGATGATCCAAAGACCTAGGCCTTAAGCTCGAGACTACAAACCCGAATGCCGAAACTCTTTTGAGACCCTTAAGACAATCCTAAATCCCCGAACCCACAAAACGAAATCCGCCTAAACCCTAAACCCTAAACCCTAAACCCCAAAAGCTCCAAAGGCCCTTGCGCACGCTAGACCCAATGCAGTTCCGGGTGTCAGGAGGAGCGGCTGAGGGGACGTTTCTTTCGTGGGCTTTTGTCGGGTTCTTTGGGTTTTGGCAAGGTCCCAGAGACTCCAATATCCCTTTATTAAGGAATATACCTTAAATCATATTAGGGATCCTACTATAATTTAAGGTATATTCCGTAAGTAAGGGATATTGGAGTCTCTGGGGTGTAATAGGGCTGGGTAGGATTTTGAGAAGTCCGTTTATGGGTTCAATGAGGTTGTCGTGGGTCTAGCGGGATTTAATGCAATGGACCACTTCTACCGTTGCTTCTGCTACATGCTCGGGATTCGTGTGCATCCCAACTTTTGGCATTCCTACCACACGGCTACTAAAGGGAACCCTTAAAGGAGCCCCAAAAGGAACCTTGAAAGGATCCCTTTTGAAGGAGCCCTGTAAAGGAACCCTTTGGTATCAGTGCAGTTTTGCTTTGCTTCAGCGCGGTTGCGCTGGACGTCTTCGTCTGCCTATGGGCCCAGCTACAACAACGACGGGTCTGTTGTTGAGGGTTTCTGGGTTTAGGGGTTTTCCTACTGCTCCTTGTAGCTGGACTTGAGTTACCATCACAAGTCATAAGCCTTGAGGAAAGCATGGTCGTTTCAGTAAGCCCTTGGTGACTGCAGAAAGCAGATTCAACGACGAGTTTGTAAGAAGCCCAGCGGCGCTGCAGGTCTCACTCCTGTCGTCCAAACTCCCTGTGGCACTACGACGGGGACCGGGGGTTTGGAGTAGGGTCTAAACCCTAAACCCTAAACCCAAACCCTAAACCCTAAACCCTAAACCCTAAACCCTGTTTATAGGGTTTAAGGCTGAGGACTTGTCTTACGGCCTCATGCTTCTCACAGAAAACAGAGGACCCCAAGATCGGCCCCTGGGTTCTGGGATCCTCGTTTTGTTCAGGGCCACCCTTCAAGAGGGACCCCTCGTTGTTCGGGTTTAGGGTTTAGGG